ATAAATGTCTCAGTTTCGTATAATATTCTCAAACCGAATCAAAATAACCCAAGTGCCCTCTAATAAGAAAAACAGAGTTTCTTGTTTTCCAAGAAGAGATAAGTTTACCGATTCAGCATCGTCGATGAATTGGAGAATGTCGAGTTCTAGTAATGGATCATGTTCCTGAAGAAACTTCCATCCTTCTGTCTGCTCAACGGTCTTAAACTGCGACTGAATCAGACGCATAGATCTAAGACAAAGATCAGGTGCGTCGCAAAGCCGAGCCAACTGGAGAACGTCGACTACATTCTCCGCCGTTAAACGCTCTACCACGCCTTTCGAGCACAGTTGCTTCAGATTTGTAACCATGTAGACGTGAGACAAAGCTAGAAGGTGGATGCCGTATTCATCCATCTCATATTCCTTCAAACTACGCGTGACAACAACAACAAAAAACAGAGACACAGAAGGGTATTTTAGTCGTTTTATGACAGCTGTTGTTTTCTCAAAAAAAAAAGTTTAGCAATGACCCAAAGAAACACGGTTTATAAGATAATTAATCTTAAACTAAGACTAAATACATAATTAGCCGTTGATTTTTTCCCCATTTTCTTGTAAAAATCAAAATATCGGTTTGATGAGTTTGTGCATGAATGAACCAAACCTAGAAGAGTAGAGGAATCTGATGAAGACCGAAACGGCGTCGCATGGAACGCCAAGAATCTTGATGACTCTCTTAGAATCACATCCACGGTAACGTCTCACCGGTTTCTTCATGATGTTCATCAGAACCGGCGAAGCGGAAGCCTGCATTATCCATAATTTCAGTAAAAAAAATAACAAACCGGAGAAACCTAAACCGGATCGGTTTAACCATAAAGCAAATATATCTTACAAGAACGCCGGAGTGTACCGGTATACGACGGTTACCGGTGGTAACAATCTCAACGTCCGACGTCGTTAGATTATGCGAGATTTTATCTGTGATTAGCGAAAATCCATCGTCTTCAATTGTGGCGGTTATGGGGATAAAGACAGCTTCCATTGTAAAGAGAGAAATGTGTGAAATTGAAGAAGAAGGTTTGGTAACGTTTGTGGCTATATAGACATATCGAGGTGGACCCATACTCCAACTTTTGAGTGCTTACGTGGCATTTTCATAAATATCTTCTTTTTTTTTTTAACATCATAAATATCTTTCTTTTTTGGTTCTCAACTCTCTAATCTTATCTCACACGCTCTTTTTCTTGCTGGCTCGTGATCTG